ATGGATTTCTATGTTCAGCTCTTTGAGGAAATGCCAAACTGTCTTCCAAAGTGGTTGTACCATTTTGCAATCCCACCACCAGTGAATGAGAGTTCCAATCTCTCCACATCCTCTCCAACTCTTACTGCTTGCTGTTCTGTTAAACTTTGCTGCTGCTACTGGGATGAGATGGTACCTCATTAAATTTGCATCTCTTTGATTGCCAGTGATTTTTATCATTTCTTTATGTGTTTATTGGCCATCTGAATGTCCTTTGTGAAGAGTCTTTTCATGTCTTTTACCTGTTTTGTTACAAGTTACAAGATTTATAAATATTTTTCTTGTGGATGTCCTATAGTTTACAAAATACTATTCTGTAGTCTGTAAACTACACAGCATCCACATGAAAATTATGGGTCCCTTGTCTGAGATATCATTGCCAAATGTTTTTTTTCTCCCAGTAATATGATTGAAGGAAGATTTGGAAAAGTCTGCCTTCATTGATTGTTGTGCTGAGGCTTAAAAAAGATTAAATTAAAACAATATATCTTTAGGATTTTGATTAAAGCACAAGAATGATCAAAAAAGAAACATATATTAATTCAAATGAGATACAGCAATTTGATGGGATTCAAATCGACACGCTTCAACAAACAGATATAGCTCTGGTTGTGCCAAGAAATTTGGAAGACAACCTCTTGGCCAATGTATTGAAAGAGATCCTTATTTGCTCCCATTCCAAAAAAAGGTGACCCAATGAGTGCAGAAATTATCAAACAATATTAATATCAAATGAAAGTAAAACCTAGCTGAATTATTTAAAAACAGCTGGAATAGTTCATAAACAGAGCACTGCCAAAAAATTCAAGCTGGATTCACAAGAGGACATGGAATGAGAGATATCATTGCTGATGTCAGATGGATCTTGACTGGAAGCAGAGAGAGCAGAAAAATATTCACTTGTGTTTCACTGTAAATGCAAAAACATTTGACTGTGTGTACCATAACAAATTATAGATAACACTGAGAAGAATAGAAATCCCAGAAGTTATTGTCCAAAAAAAGGAACGCTGCATGGTTTAAAATCAGGAGAGGAGTGTGTGTCAGATATGTATCCTTTCTCCATACCTAATAAATATGTATGCTGAGTATATAATTCAAGAAGTTGGACTTTATGAAGAAAAATATAGAATTAAGCTTGGAGGAAGACTCATTAATAACCAGCTTTATGTGGGTCATACAATCTTACTTGCAGAAAGTGAAGATCTGATTGCAGCTGCCATTAAGAATTCTATTCCAATATCAAGAAAACAAAAATCAATTTTCACCACTAAATAACAAGCAACATTATGATTTGTTGTTGTTGTTAATGTGTTGTTGAGTCAACTATGACTCATAGTGACCACATGAGTGGTAGCTCTGAACTTTACTCTATCCTGAGCCAATCTCACTGCCTCTGACACACCTACTACTATTACCCCAATTACTGTGTCAATCCATCTCATCCAGGGTCTTCCTCTCCTGAGCTCTCCCTCCACTCTTCAAGCATTATGTCCTTCTCCAAGAACTGGTCCCTCCTTGTAACATGCCCAAAGCATATGAGAGGAAGAGAGCCTCAAAATCCTTGTCCCAAGGAACAGCTTGGTTTCACCCTTTCTAAAATATATCTGTTCATTCTCTTGGCAGTCCATGGCATGCTCAATACTCTTGTCCAGCACCACAACTCAGAAGTATCAATTCCTCTTTCATCATACTTGGTCATTGTTCAGCTCTCTGATGCATAGCGAGTAATGCAAAGACTGTGGCCTGGATCAGGTATATCTTAGTATCTAAACTAATATCACTGCTCTTCAGCACTCTGGAGAGGTCCCTGAATGTAGATTTTCCTAATGCAGTTTGCCTTTTGAGTTCTTGACTCCTGGTGCCAAGAGTGTTGAATGTGGAACCTAGCAAGCTAAAATTGTTAACAGTCTCCATCTCTTCTCCATCTATTATTGTGTTGCTAATTGCAATCACTTGTTATGCATCAGAGAGTTGGACAAGGACTAGGAAGAATAGAAGGAGAATTGACGCCTTTGAGCTGTGGTGCTGGAGAGGAGTATTGAATGTACCATGGACTGCCAAGAAAACAAATAGATTCATCCTAGAGAGGGTTAAACCAGGCTGCTTCTTGGAGGCAAGGATTCTGGGGCTTCGCCTGACATACTTTGGACATGTTGTAAGGAGAGACAGGTCTTTAGAGAGGGACATCATTCTGGGCAGAGTGGAGGGACAGTGCAGGAGGGGAAGACCCTCTATGAGGTGGATTGATTCAGGACGGGGGTAATCAGGATGGGTGTGTCAGAGGCAATGAGATTGGCACAGGATAGAGCAGGGTTTAGGGCTGTTGTACATAGGGTCACTATGAGTCGCAAACGACTCGACGGCACATAACAACAACAACAGTTGGCCCAGTGGGGAGAATTTTCATTATCTTGATATTGAGCTTCAATCTATATTGCAGACTATAGTCTTTGACCATCTGCAGCAGAAGCTTCAGACCCTCCTCAGTTTCAGCAAGCAGGGTTGTGGCATAGACATAATGCAAGTTGATGAATCTTCCTCCAACATTGATGCCACATTCCTCCTCATAAAGTCCAGCCTCTCAATGATCTGTTTTGCATAAATAATGAAAAGGTATGGAGACAGGACACAACCCTGACACAGTCCTTTCCTAATTTTGAACCATGTGTTTGTACGGAGTGTTTCCTTGCTTCATTCTGAAGACTGTTTCCTGGTCCAACCATAGGTTTCACATGAGTATAGTCAGGTATTCTGGGATTTACATCTATCTAACCAAGTCATGGTAGTTTTAATTGCTTCCTGTGCATCTGAAAGTTGAACAATGAATAATGAAAGCCCATGAAGAATTGATGCCTTTGAATTGCGGGGTTGGGAAGAGTATTGAATATGCCATGGACTGCCAATACAAAAAGTGAAGTCTGTCTTAGAGGAAGTGTAGCCAGAGTACTCCTTAGCGGCAAGGATGGTGAAACCTAGTCTTGCATATTTGGGGAATGTCAGGAGGGGACAGTTCTTTGAAAAAAAGACATTATGATGGAAAAAGCAGAGGGTCGGCCAAAGAGAGGAAGACCCTCAACTAGATAAATTGGCACTGTAACTGCAACAGTGGACTTGAGCATGACACAGATTATGAGAATGAGGCAGGATAGGGCAAAGTTCTGATCTGTTGTTCATAGGATCCTAATGAATTGTA